TTATATAAAATTTTAATTAATTATTTTTTAATTTTTAATAATTAAAATTTATCATATTTTTAAATAAAAAATAATTATTTTTAATAAATATAATAAATTTGAATTACTAAAAAGAAAGAGATGAATAATTAAAATTTTATGTAAATATAATGTGTAAAATTTAGATATAAATAAATTCTTACTCATAATATATAGTTTCTTCTTTATATCACACAAAATATTATATAACTTAATTTTACAGATTTGAATTTAAAATTTTTACATAATTAAAAATATATATATTATGTAGCTTAAACAACAATAAATTATATAGATTAAATTATTAAATTAAAAATAAATTTTTTAATATTAAAAACTATTTCTCATCTAATTATTTTTACTTTGTAGGCTGAATACTGCAAAACAATTAACTCTTAAAAGTATTTGTGAAACCAAAACACTTAATTTCCACAGCTAGCTAATCTTCTAAAAGAAAAAGAGCCCTTTTCTCTTGTTGATTCTTGGTCATTCAAGCCATCGCCCGATGAAGATGTAACAACCTTCCCTCTCTCTCTCTCTTCCTTTTTTTTTTTTTTCCAAGAAAAGAATAAAAAGGAGGAGATGTAACAACCTTTTCCACAGATAGATTCGTACCGTTCGTGTCTAGAAATTGGCAGGGGGGGTGAAAAACGTGGTACTTATGTTATAAAAGAAAATAAAAAAAAAAAAACAGATTGAATTATATTGTCGAGTGTTTGTACTCTTAGCAGACATGATGTGTATATATACCTACCCCCTTATTGTGTTCTATTATGAGTAATGATACGCGCAACGAATTTGGGGGACGAAACTACGGGACGACAAGTGAAATGGTCCCAGATGTAATTACCAATTTAACCTTGTTTCATTTATCTTTACTTGTCGTCCCGTGGTTTCGTCTCCCAAATTCGTTGCGCGTATCATTACTCTTCTATTATACTAGCTTAGGTGTTCTCTGTTTTTTTCTATTTTTTACCTTAAATAATAGATGATATAAGAAGAGATATTACTTTTTAACTATTTTAAAATTTAAAGTTAAAATTTTTAACATAAAAATTTAAAATTTTAATTATTGAAATACCTTCACATTTGACCCCAGAGACCCAATAACATTAATTATTGAACAAGTGCATTCTCTCTCCTCTAGGCGGTTTCAAACTTGCTCCATGTCAAAATGTTAAAAAAAAATTATTGAAACACCTTCTGAACAAAAATGGACACCATACATTTTTGAATTTGAAAAATGAAATTTTTGTTAATTCAGAGATAGAGGAGGAAAAGAAAAACATCTCTGTCTGAGCGGACCTTGAAGTGGGTTTGGACGTTTGTTTTGGGCTTGAAGATAAAATTATTTACCGGTGCAGTAATTAAAACTTACACATGTAAACAAAATCGGCCCAATTATATTAAATATATCTTCTAATTTTTAAAAGTTTCTTTTTTTTTTTTTGAGGGGGGAGGGGAAAAAGAGAGAAGGGAAATTCTTGTTAGTTTTATAAGATGGTAATTTTGTAATTTTGTTAATCTTACGTATGAAGTTAGCTGTTTAATTATTATTTCAAATGTCTGACTTTTTTTTTTCTTGCACAAATTTCTCATTTTTATTGTTGGTTTATTATTTTAGTCTGTCGTTCGTAGAGCCAAAACCAATAGGGAAATAATTGACTGCAACAATTTTAGATACAATGAACTTTATAAAATAACTAACTATTATATGATTTATTTATTTTCTAAAGAATTATACATAATATTATATGTATTAATTTAATTAATTTATTTAAATACAATACGATGGTATATTATATTTATAACATTGTTAAAAACAATAAGAATTTGACAATTTTTGATTTGTGAATTTTTTTAATAAAAAAAAAACTTTCCAGTTGGAGAAGAAGTTGATCTTGCAGTCAAATCTTATGGTAGAGAATAATCCTCCTCTTCTCTTAATTCTTTCATATTTATTTTTAGGTTTAAATTTAAAATTTTTAAATTGAAATCTCAAAATTTTAACATATATATTTTTTATTTTGGTTGTACAATGATAGGTAATTTTCTCCTATCTCTTATTTCATTCTACCCATATGCCGTGTAACTCAAATTCAAAATCTTACTTTCTGTGAAAAGAAATAACTATTAAATTATTTAGGTCATTGGCATCAAAATTTTAATAATTTGAAATACCCCATTAGGCTTGTGGCAGAATCTTTACCTTGCATTTCGGTCAGCTAATTATGCTAACAAGATTTCTTTATGAGTTATTCTCTTTATGTCAAAATAATAATTGATTTTTAATTTTCAGTTTTTTGAAATTAATTTTTTTATTTTTTAAAATAGACAAATAATTTTTTTTAATTTAACTCTATTATTATTTATTTATTTTAATTGATCATCTTATCATAAAAGGTTCACTTTATCTTTTAGTTTTTTTTTCTTAAAGATAGCATATATAAATGCATAAATTATTTTTGAATTGTTAACTTGAAGAAAAAATAAAAAAATTACAATTATTTTAAGATAAATACAGTATATACATAATCGTATGTCCCCCATTAGTGAGGTCCATGGGCCGCCATGAAGTTGCCTTTACAATGATATTATGATATTTTCATAGAAGAATAATATATTTACATGTAAATTTTATATATTATATTTATATAAAATTTTAATATTTTATTTTTTTATTTTTTAATATTTGAGATTTAATATAATTTTTTAAATGAAAAATATAATTATGTTTAATAAATGTGAATAAATTTCAATTATAGAGAATGAAAAATAAATAGTCAAGATTTTATATAAATATAATATATAAAATTTGTGTATAAATAGACTATTTATTTTTATTTAAATCACCTCTATTTAATAAGTGGGATAACTAAATCACACCAAAGAAATAAATTTCTAGATTTTAAGTGTAAAAGTCTAGTTTTCATTATCTGTTAAAAAATTACTAACTCTAAATTAAAATAAAAAATTTTAATGCATCGAGTCCTGCGGGTCAAGTGGCATTAGCCACCTCACGATGCACTCTCCCCTCACTACAAGAAAATGGGTTTTCT